ATTTCTTCCAGTCCATACAGAGTTCATCTGAAATAGATTTCGATGTTCCCCTGCTTCCCTCTTCAGTGGTTCTGGGGCCACTGCCCTGGAATCCTGAGGCAGTCACACAACCTGCTCCATGTGCTTGCACCCTCTTTGAGCCATCTTCTCAGCCTGGAGAATGATGACGTGACTGGGAGAATTCTTGATTGGTTGGTGTTTCTGGGTCCTTTCTTTAATTATTTCTTCCTTTGAAGCCACCCTAGATGCTTAATAGTTTTGTTTTGTTTTTTAAAATTAGGCTTATAGTAAAACTGTCAGCCTCTTGGTACTATACCATTTCATTGATAAGTGAGGTTTGGAGGATAACAATTGTGGGGGAAGGATTTTTGTGCAAGGGTGCTAAGATGATTAGGTCACCATGATTGTTTTGCCAGTCCTGGGGCTTGAACTCTGGGTCTGGGCACTGTTCCTAGCTTTGCTCAAGGCTAGCACTCTACCACTTGAGTCACAATGTCACTTCTGGCTTTTTTTTTCTGTGATTAATTGGATATAAGCGTCTCATGGGACTTTCCTGCTTGGGCTGGCTTTGGACCATGATCCTCTTAGATCTCAGCCTCCTAAGTAGTACAGAGTACAGGTATGAGCCACTGGTGCCCAGCTTATGATTAGGGTTCTTGATGGAGAATCTATGACCATGTATTTTCCCGTTACTATCTTAGTAGTACCTTAGGGATCTGGGAACCCAGGAAAGAAAATGAGGGGGGAGGGAAAGGAACTCAATTCTGTTACGAGTATTGCCTTATTTATTTAACAGTGTGTCCTATAGACTAATGAGCAAACACTTTAAAAAGACATTTAAGAGACTTCAGAGCCTGTCTATTTTTGTCTTTTCTTACTCTTAATATCTATCTGTCCCTAATCTCTAATCAATATCTCAGTCTTAATACCCATTTTTGTCTTTCCTCACCTTAATATATTTTTTTTTTCAGTCCCAGGCTTCAATTCAGAGCCTAGGCACTGTCCCTGAGCTTTTGGGATCAAGGTTAGTGCTCTACTAATAAAGTAACAGCTCCACTTCTGGCTTTTTTGGTGCTTAATTGGAGATAAAAGTCTCACAGACTTTCCTACCCAGACTGGCTCCGAACTGTGATCCTCAGAGCTCAGCCTCCTGAGTTGTTAGGATCACAGGCATGAGTTACTAGTGCCCAGCAAACCTTAGTATCTTCTTTGGTAAAATTTCATACTCTATGTTTTCTCTACAATGCCTAGCTAGACCATATATTTTCTAGATGTTTTATGCAGTCTATATATCATCATTCATGACAATGGTGATCCCAGTAAGTAAACCTATCTAAAAAGGAAGAGTAATTTTTTTTTCTCATGTCACAAGTGAGTGAAGGCTAGTGGTCAATCAGAAGAGCTTTGTTTCATGAAATCACCAACACATAGATTTCCATTTAGGTTCATTATGGTGTCAGCTTTAGCAAGGGTCCACTTGCTTCAGTAATGCTCTAAGGTTAAGGAATGGTAAGAGGGAGGGACTAGAATGAAGGCTCATTTAGTTTTAGTTGTCTAGATCCCGAAGTGAAATCATTTCTGCTCAATTTCCATTGGTTGGAATTAGCTGTCTGGACTTACCTAGATGCAAAGGGAATGAGAAAAAACAGTTGCATGCCCAGTAAGGGGAACTGACATTTGGAGAGCAACTATGAAACTATTGAGACATCACTTTTTTTTTTAGGACTGCATCTGTTATAATGCAAGCACTTAAAAATGTTTGCAGAACAAGTAAATGAAATAAATGAATAAATCTTCATACAATTCTGATTTTAAGTTTTTCTAAGGCAGAAAATAGGAAGGACATTATTTGGAGGAAAGTTGAAATTTCTCTACCACACCCTATTCATATGACTATGAGTATGAAGTTATTTTACAGGTACTCTGAAAATCTATTCCCTTGAAGATATGTTTATATTCATTCAGCAAATATTGGAGTGCTTTGAACCTGTTGTGTGCTATGCCATATGCATAGTGAAAGTAATCATTCCTGCTCATTGGCAATTCAAACTCAGGAACTTGAATGTTCAAGGCAAGCTACTCTACCATTGAGCTACATCCCCAACTCAAGAATCACAATGATCATGCAGTTCCATGATAGTGATATGTGTGGACTGTGGCAGGAACACTGAAAAAGGGCACCTGACTCAGCCAGGAATGGGCCTTTTAGGCTTCATTTTCCAGAACAAGGATACTTCAGCTGAATGAACATGAGATTGCCAGTTGATGCTAATATGTACTAATATGTACAATTTTGACTATTTAGGAGAGAATCATCAGTCTAGTATGTCACAAATGTGTGGCAAAGGATAATGGGAGTCAAGACTGGAGGGAGAGCCCTGGGCTGGTTCATGAAACACTTGTAAAACTGGGATGAGTGAAGAAATAATGCACAGAAATTATAGATGGTGATTACATGATGTTTCTCCCTTGGATGAAAGAATTGATACACAGTCAAATGTAAACAAAACTCATGCCATACCTATTTTTCTCCATAGATTCACTGCAAATAATATATGATTGATAACATTAGGAAGCAAACAAAGACTGTTCAGTGTTGCAATGATAATTCTATGGTAAGAGATTAAACACAAGCAAAGAAAGGCACAATAACACTCATTCATCTCAGCATAGCCTTGATATGAGAGTAGGGCAGAAAAGAAGCCCATTCAAAGAAAAGACAGGAAGTGATTTTGTGGTTTTGCAAAAAACAAAAACCTCTTGTCAACAGAGAGGAGTCTTCTAAAACAAGCTTGTTTTAGATGGACTATGGGAAAAACAACAACTAGGAATAATTCCTCTAGGTCCTGCCCTCAGAACTTCTCATCAGTGAGCATTGTTAAAATTGGTCAGCTAGGGAACTAAGTACTTAGCCCAATTCAGTCAGTAGTTCTTGAGCACCCATGTATGAATTCTTTCTTCATTCATTCAGCCCATTTGAATGACACTTTTGTGTCGTGATCTATATAAGATACTACTAGGAAGTAAAAGATAGGCAAAGATATGATGGTACTGTCCTTGCAAAACTTCAACTAATATATGAATTGAAAGGTTTCTAACCAAAGATATGCTGTACTGAAGGATTAAATTACAACACACATGCACGTATGCCTGCCCCCCTCCATGCACACGCACACACATAAACATATACACTGTAATATTATTTTAAAGTATAACATGAAGATGATACCATCTATATCACAATTGTCAGGATTAAATGAGATGATTCATGTGACAGCTTTGTGTAAACAATACAGAACTTTGCAAACATTGGTGGCAAATTATTGAAGATGAATATGTAAGAACTTTCAAGCAGTGTTTATTAAAGTGTGCTTGTTGAAACATTAATGTCCAAGGGTGGTAACTGACATTTCGCAAGAAGAAAATTCTGTGATCAAGTTTGAGAAAGGTAAGATTAAGGAAAGTAAAGCATGAGTCTTAGGCCTGTCAAATGTGAATGTGTATTGTGAATATTAAGGAAAGCAACCATATGTATCTCTTTCCCCCAAAGTATTGTGATCATCTCTGTATGACCTAGCATGCAAGACTCATTTTGAGAAGACAGCTAGCAGCCTTCACTACAACAAATCCATCAGCTTTTCAAAAATGGAGCTATTCACCATCAGATAATTTAGAAATTCATGGGCTGGGAAGGTGGCTCAGTGGTAGAGTGCTTGCCTCGCATGTATAAGGATCTGGATTCGATTCCTCAGACCACATAAGCAGAAAAAGCTGGAAATGGCACTGTGGCTTAAGTGGTAGAGCACTAGCCTTGAGCTGAAGAGCTGGGGACAGCGCTCAGGCCCAGAGTTCAGGCCCCACAACTGACAAAAAAATGAAAGAAAGAAAGAAAGAAAGAAAGAAAGAAAGAAAGAAAGAAAGAAAGAAAGAAAGAAAGAAAGAAAGAAAGAAAGAAAGAAAGAAAGAAAGAAAGAAAGAAGGAAAGAAAGAAAGAAAGAAAAAAGAAATTTATGCAACTGTTGCCCAAGTAAGGTGTTGAGATGTCTGCTAGGAGCTGTATAAAAGAAAAGGGCCAGCCAACCTTTAGTCAGAGTTAGAGAGGATTCCCACAGAGAATGGATGTGCAAGATGTGGATACATTTAATATTCCTTCCAGGACACTCACTGGTGACACCCTAGTAGCAATGATAAAGCAACAAAAGTGAAGAGACGCGTGCTGAGTGTGAAAGACTCTACAATTAGACGTAAAAAAATAAAAACACTAAAAGTCAAGTGACAATATAAGATAATTTCTCCACTTTGAACAAGAAAAAGGGTTCAGGACCATCTCTGGGAAAAAAACAACTGTTTCCTTCCTGCACATCCAGACAAGTTCATCAGGGTAACAGCTTTCCCTTTGCCCCTTTCGTACCTCTAGTCTCCCTTGTGATTCCCTCAGCACATCCCAAGCTCTGTCTCATTTTTAAACCTCCCTGCTGAGAGCGATTGAGAGCAGCCAGGACAGGAGAACACCGCGGTAATGCCCTTCAGGTGGACCAGCGAGGCCCCGCCCACTTTTCCTCCGGAAGCAGCGCGGATGAGGAGTTGGGGCTACCCGGGAGACTGGGGTGGGGGGAAGTGGGCGGGGAAGGGTGGAAAATACAGTGGAGGCTGTCTATCAGGGTGGTGGTGTGCTGGGCGCGGAGCTAAGAGGGCACTAGAACCTGGAGGGACCCGGCTGTCCCGTGGCCGGACTACCAGGGGGCGGGGCAGATTATAAGGGTCTGAGAAATTTGAGGGGCGGGGCTACCAGGGAAGGGGCGGACCGAAGGGGCGGGGATCTGAGAATCCGAGGGGCGGGGCTATCAAGGGCGGGGCCGATCAGAGGGGAGTTTGAGGAACCTGAGGGGCGGGGCTATCGGGGGCGGGGCGGATCTGAGGGGGGCTGAAGAACCTGACGGGCGAGGCGCGGGCGCGCGCTGGGTGCGGCGTTCCCGCCCGCCGCGAAGGCTGAGCGTTCATTACCTGGAGCAAACAGGTAACCCGCGGCTGTCCGGCGGCGCGGCCTGAGCGCGTGGGGTGGTGGCGCAGCGGGGCGGCACAGCGGGGCTTTCACGAGAGCCGCGCGCGGAAGAGCGGGGAAAGGGCCGCGGGGCCTCGGCGGGGTCGAAGCCGCCGCCGCTCAGGTGCGCTTCTCCGGGCCGCCGCCGCCGCCCTCGCCCCGCGGCCGGGGTGAGGTGCGGGGCGCTGGCTGTGGTGGCCGCGGTCTGTCGGGGCGTCGCGGTTGTCTCCTCTCCAGATGTCGCCGTGGCTGGGTGCGCGCTCATTCCCGGCTCCTCCCGACGCCTGCCCCGCGAGGCCCGAGGGAGGTTTGGGGGAGACCTCGGCCCGCCCTGGGCGGCGGACCCCGGCTCCGCGGGCCGCCAGTGGCTCGGGACTTTGGAGGACAGGGACTTTGGGTCCCCTCGTCTGGGCGAGGTTGGGAGAGAGCTGCGTTTCTGGAAGTTTCTGGAACTTCGGGGAATGACCCCAGAGGGTTAAAAGGCCGCTTTCCCACGCAAACCAAACTACCCTCTGCCCAGCCAGGTGTTAGATTTAACATCGACCTCTTCCATGTTTTCCTGTGCTGTGATTTTCTTCAAAAGCTGCTCTACCTAGGTCTCTCTAAAATCGATTGCTGTTCTACATAGGAATATAGAATGGTTGTCGGATTGTGTGACATCTGGGGACAGACAAGAGAGGGGCCAAACCAAACATTGATCCCTTTAGGATATTAAAATCAAGTATGTAAAAGGATTGCTTTTGTAATCACATTATTCTGGTTCTCACTGCTGGTAGGCAGTTCATTAGAGTGTTTTTCCTGGAAAATGCGGAGAATTAAAGTCCAAAACTTAATTTCCCATTTTGATAGGCAATTTCATCTTGGTATAAAAGTGCTTTATTGGAAGGGAATGTTAATAATGCCTGGCTTTAGAAAAAGATTCGAAGATACTTGCTTTTTAATTTTTTTGGGGGGGAGGGGGTTGTAGTTTTTTTTTTGCTGATGAGTATTTAACCTTCCTGACTGGTAGGGAAACCATAGTACCAATTTGTTGGTGTTTTTTAAAGCCGTTTAACGGGGGGAGGGTCGGAAGCCCAAATCCCCACATTTTAAAGTATGTCTTGGATTCCATTTTCTTCACTAGAATTATAACTATTCATGAGTAAAACTAATTGAGAGTTCAGTTCAGATTAAAGAAAATGAGATTGCAATTCTTGTAGGGCATCTATTTGAGCTGGCTAGGTGGCAGTTGGATTTACTGGTAACAGGTTTTTCTGAAGTCAGGCTCCACTCGTAGATGGGTTTGTGGTGGTTAAGCCTGAAGGGGTGAAAGAAATTGAAATGAGTATAGAATAAAGAGAGGGAGACCAGGATTGGTAGAGACAGCTGAAGAGATTCAGGAGTGATCAGGAACATTTAGAGACTGTGGGGCTCTGGAAACTGATTTGGAGAGGAGAGTTATAAGGAAAGTCTTATCTGGAAGTGATATGGAATCTGGAGATCAGGAAGTTAGGACCTGATTGTCTATTGGCTTTGGGAGTTAGCTTTGGGGGTGGAGGGGGGGCAATTGGCCTCAGCAAACACAATTTAAGTAGAAAGGTAGACGCTAAATTTGAATAATTTTGAAATACAAATACAGGTAAAGAAGTAAGCCTAAAGTAGAATTTGTAAATGAGAAAATCTAGGAGAGGCGACAGCATTGTTAGTAGAGGGAACCCCATAGTAAGATTGGAAAAAAAAATAGGAGTACAGAATAGCTTAGGTCAAAGCACATGGTCTCCTAACATTCTTAATTTCTTGTGGTTAAATCTTAAAGGTGAGAACAGTAGTTGAGTATACTGAATAGCACTCTTGGTTATAAAGGTATTTTATCTGTCCTCACCTAAATCATGAATGTCATTTTTAGTAGTGTTATGGTGTAGTGGGGTCAGGTGTTTTTACTAGTGTTTAAGTCACAATTCTAAACTGTGTTGAACTATCTTTTGTGGCAGCCCAATACTCTGATATTCCTACCTTGTAAGCCCTTTAATTCCTTCTGGTATGTTTCAAAAGTCCCTCTCAAAATCTTATGTTGAGGGGCTAGGAAGGTGGCTCAGTGATAGAGCATTTGCCTTGCATGCATGAGGCTCTGGGTTCGATTCCTCAGCACCACATAAGCAGAAAAAAAAGCCAGAAGTGGCGCTGTGGCTTAAGTGGTAGAGCACTTGCCTTGAACTGAAGAGCTGAGGGACAGTGCCCAGGCCCAGAGTTCAGGCCCCACGACTGGACTAAAAAAAAAAATCTTATGTTGAAGTTGATATTTTGACTAAATCAGAACAGCAATATATATATATATATATATATATATATATAAATTATGACATTGGCTTTGATTATTACATACTCAAGGGAAAATGTTCTTAGTTTAGAATGTGTGTAATGAGTTTTACTTCAGTCTTCATTTTGTTGTCCTAAAATTAAGACCAGTAATTTATTTAGTGGAATATATTTCTTAGGAATAGGAAGAGAATGGTTAAAATAGATCTGAATACCATGTGTTGGTGAGGCTGTAGACCTGGGACACTCATATTGTGCTGGTAGGAATGTAAATCAGTAGCATCTTTGAAAGAGTTTTTTTGCAGTATCTGCTAAATTGAGACATGAATAAACTATGGACTAATATATAGCAAACAAAATTCTAGAAAATGCAAACTCATCTAACATACCAATCTGTATGCCAGTGATTACTTGGCCATGGGTTGTGAGAAAGTAAGGAGGGATAGATTAAAAGGAGGCTTGATGCAGCTTTTTGGAATGATGCATATATTGATATGCTTGGTTGTGATGATACTACTCCAAAATATGCATAAATGACTCATTTAATTGTATGTTTTAAACTTTGACATTTATTATAGGTCAGCCACAACTCAATAATGCTATAAGAAAATATTTGAATGGAAGAAACCGCATCATGTAAGTATATTTACTGTTTTAAAAATACTATAGTTACCTGAGGTGGATAAGATTATGAGTAATTTTGGGCTGAGAAGGTGGCTCAGTGGTAGAGCGCTTGCCTTGCATGCTCGAGGCCCTGGGTTCAATTCCTCAGCACCACATAGCAAAAAGAAAAAAAAAAAGCCGGAGGTGGTGCTGTGGCTCAAGTGGTAGAGCGCTAGCCTTGAGCTGAAGAGCTGAGGGAAGAGTTCAGGCCCCACGACCGAACTAAAAAAAAAAAAAAAAAAAAAAAAGATTATGAGTAATTTTAATTTTCTTTCTTTCTTTTTTTTTTTTTTTTTTTTTACCAAAACCATGTATTGTTATTCTGTTCTATATCTATCAATTAGAGCTGCTGAGTTCCAGCTGTAGTCCTAGCACCATACAGTGTGCTAAGCAAGAGAGAGAGAATACAAGATTATTTCTTGATAGTTCACATGGAAAATAGAACAATTTTATGAAACACCAGAAAAATATTCAGCTTCTTTTAAAAATTATAGTGGCATTTAGAGATGAAAGAAAATTAGTTTGATCTGGGTGATTAATGAGTGCCTCCTCTAATATACTGGCCTTTGAAAATACATACATTTTTAAAAAATTTGCATCAGTTACAAGATAGGCTGAAAAGATGCCATTTATGATACACAAGCAAATAATGCAGGCATACTGAATAAGACATGTTAAGAATTTATATAAGGGTAACTAAAAATCTCTTGAAGGTGCAAAGATAGACTTTAACAAATGGAAAGAAATACTATGTTGTGGGTAAGAAGACAATATCCTTAGAGGTCAGTTTTTCCAAAATTTATAAGTTTAACATGACTCCAATTAATCTTTTTCCTTTTAAAGCTAGAGCAGATTCCAAAAGTAATTTGCAAGAGTAGCTGAGAAAATACAGCAAGTGAAAGAACAGTTAGGATGATTAGTCCAGATACATGGTTTTTATTTGTTTGGGTTTTTTCTGCCAGTTGTGAGGCTTGAACTCAGGGCCTGGGTGCTGAGGGCTAATGCTCTACAACCTTGAGCAATAGCAGTTGGAGATAAGGGTCTCTGGGCCCACAAGACAGTATATTTACAACTTCGGGGAGGAGGTGAGGGAAGGGATAGTGGGAGAACAACAAGGGAGGGGGTAACACGGTTCGACAAGAAATGTACTCATTGCCTTACTCATGTAACTGTAACCCCTCTGTACATCATCTTTACAATAAAATAAAAATTTAAAAATCCTTCCATAATTAATAAACCCATAAATGGCGGCGGGGGGGGGGGGGGGGGGAGAGATTATAGGGAGTTTTCTGCCCAGGCTGACTTTGAACCACATCAGATCTTAGCCTCCTAAGAAGCACAAGTGGCTGGCTCTGTTACATGCGTTAAGCCTTTAATTAAAGTGGTGTATGTGTACAGGAATAGATCAACTGAAGAAAAAAGAAAATGCAGGGAAAAAAACTTCATTGCATATGGAAATTTAGTGTGATAGTAAAGGAAGCATCCTGACATCAGTGGAGAAAGCATGACATTTTTATGGTTTTTTTGGTCAGTCATGGGCCTGAACTCTAGGCCTGGGTGCTGTCCCTCAGCTCTTCAGCTCAAGGCTAGCACTCAACCACTTGAGCCACAGCGCCACTTCTGGCTTTTTCTGCTTATGTGGTGCTGAAGAATTGAACCCAGGGCCTCAGGCATGCAAGGCAAGCACTCTACCACTGAGCCACCTTCCCAGCCCGCATGACATTTTTAATATGTGATACTGGGAAAAGATAGACTTGCTTCATTTCTCAATTTGTGTACCAAGATGATTACAAAAATCCACATTAAGTACTATAAGGAAATACATGTGTTTATAACCTGTAGATGGAGAAAACTGAATTGATTCAGTAACAAAAAGGAAAAACATAGATGAGTATGATTATTTATGTATATGCTTATATATCCAAACTCTAAAACTTCCTGGGTGTCAACGTATGTGATTGGGCAGTCCATACCATGAAATTGTCTCATGCATAAAATTACCTTCCAATTTTATAGGTGTAGAAGAAACACAATTAAATTTCAAGGTTATACTTGGTTTCCATACCCAAAATAGCTGCAGGACTACCTGCAGGTAGTCCAAAATTCTAAGGTTTCCAATATCCTAAATGTGTCTGGTCCCAAACATTTCAGATAAGAGATATCTGTATTTATGAATATGTTTGCATATAGTACACACACATGTGTACACATATATGCATACACATGTACTTTTCAGAGCAGAAAACACAGTAATCAAAAAAGGCATGATACACTGGAAGAATGTCACATATGATGATTAGTGAGTTAATATCTGAACAATATAAATACTAAAAATCATGAAGAAGGGCTGTGAAGGTGGCTCAGTGGTAGAGTGCTTGCCTCGCATATACAAGGCCCTGGGTTTGATTCCTTATCACCACATAAACAGAAAAAGCTGGAAGAAGTGGCACTGTGGCTCAAGTGGTAGAGCGCTAGCCTTGAGCTGAAGAGCTGAGGGACAGCACCCAGGCCCAGAGTTCAAACTCCACAATCAACAGCAACAAAAATAAATTTTTTTTAAAAAATCCTGAAGAAAAAGTCCAATGGATTTAAGAAAAGATGAGCAGGAAATACTGAACATAAAAACATTGGTTAGATGTTTCCTTTTCCATGTCAGATGGGTAATGTGCCCACCTTGTAACAAGGTTTAGAGCGAGGCACATGCCACATGAGGACCCATTTATCACGCTTATGAACTGGAAAAGAATCATGGTTAGTTTTATATTAGAAGATACATGGGCAAAAGTCCAGTATTTAAACAACACATTTTATTGGTGACAGAAACAAGTACTGTCACACATTGCTATTGAGAGTGAGAAATGGTATCACTTTAGGGAGAAATTTAACAACACATTAGGGAGAAATTTAACAACACAAGCAAAATCACACATATATACCTACTGCCCTTATAGCTGATTATCTTATAGCTCTAACACCATTATTTCTAATAGCAAATGAGTCAAGAACAAATCTGTTTTTATCTTAGGTTATACTGAACTATAAAATTGAAGCCTTAGGGGAAATTTGATCACTGAGTAGTTGTCCATGTTTGTTTTATAATGTCATTGTGATTTTCTTGGAAAACTTTTAGAAATGTTTAATATGTTATAATCTATTACAGATACTGTTTTAGTACTTCATGTGATGAATGCTCAGCCAATCAGAGCCTCACAAAGTTAACTCCTGGGTCCTTCTGCCACATATTTTAAAGATTACTACTTACATACTTATGGATGAAATTATCTGATTGGAATTTATTTCAAAATAACCCAAAGGACAGGGTAAGTGGGGAGGTGGTGGTGAAATAAGATTTGCTATGACTTGATAATTGTTTAATCTGGATAATTTGAGTTTCATGATCCTGTATTCTTTTGCATATGTTTGAAATTTACTACAAAAATGAATGTAGGGGCTGGGTTCTGTCCCTGAGCTCTTTTGCTCAAGGCTAATGCTCTACCACTTGGAATCGTAGCACCACTTCTAGTTTTTGAGAGATTACTTAGAGATAATGGGGACTTGGGGACTTTTCTGCCCAGGCTAGCTTCAAACCACAATCACCACATCTTAGCCTCTTGAGTAGCTAGGATTACAGGCAAGAGTCACAAGTGTCTGGCTCTGCAACATGCTTTAAGCTTTTAATTAAAGTAGTATGGGTTTAAATGGGTTTAAATACAAATTTAAGTGGGTATAAATGAAGAGAATACATTTAGAACAGAGATACTGAATCCAGGGTGGAAATTAGACATAAAGTTCATATATACCTCTTATTCCTGGTAAGTGTAAAACTTGCTCCTTTCAATTGTATTGTGTCTCATTAGTATTGTCTATCTGTATGAGACACGTTTTTGTTTAGTTAATTGGTTTTTTTTGTGTGTGTGCTAGTTCTGGGACTTGAACTTAGGATGTTAGCACTGCCCCTTGAGCTTTTTTCTCTATGGTAGTGCTCTGCCACTTGAGCCATACAGTTCCACTTCTGGCTTTTTGTTAGTTAATTGGTAAGATGAGTCTCGTGGACTTCCCTGTCATAAAGTGTGTACATATCTGTTTATTGGCCCTAATATAGGACTTTAGATTATCAAAATAATTGGTCTTGTGAAAATGAATTTTTTTCTTGAACTTGTTATGCGTGTCTGATTTTCTTTCAAATTTTAGATGCAGAATTAGGTATATCAAACGTGTTGATGGGATTTTTTCCAGGTTTTAACATTGAAATTTCTTGTTGGGTAATTTTTAAGCCTTCCATTTTTAATAACTTACAAGGATCTAAATGTTATATAAAATTATGTTTGGGAACAGTATTTTCCTTCTTAAATATTTCTTCAGAGCTCAAATTATATATTACAAAAATAGATAATATAATTTATTTAGTGGTATCTAATGACCTCAAGCATAATGGTTTTAATTTGCTTTCTGTCAACAGGTTGATATTAAAATTGAAAGTTTATTGGATATTAGAAATTGAATGTAATGGCAACAGAATTTATCAAGAGTTGTTGTAGAGGATGTCTCTATGGTGAAACAGAAAAGCAGAAGAGTAAGTTTTGATTTCAGTGCACATTTACTACTAAGTAAATGCCTTTGTTTGTGGCATTTTGTATTATAAAGATAAATTAGGGGTTGAGCACCATAGTTCAAGTCTGTAAGCCTACCTACTTGTGAAGCAGAGATTGTAGGGTCACAGTTTGAGGCCAATTTAGGTAAAAGTTCATGAGATTCCATCTCAACAAATGATTTTATATAGTGGTGCATACCTGACATTCCAGTGACACAAGGAAGTATAAGTAGAAAGATGGAGGCCTAGGCTAGCCTGGAAATGAATCAAGACTTTACCTCAAAAGAAAAAGAAATAAAAAAAAAGAGGAGCTTTAGTTATGGATCAAGTGGTGGAGCATCTACCAAATATGAGGCCCTGAATTCAGTTCCCCCCCCAAAAAAATTAGGAATATTTTCTAAGTTTGTAGTAATTACATTTTTATTCACCCTACAAATAATACTAGGTTTACATGGTGTTGGTCTATTACCTTCTCTTCACTTGTGCAGTTTAGGAACCTATGTCATTTTAGAGAGAAATGGGACATTTAAAGTGCTACCATAATATTTTGATGTAGTATATGAGAGACCCTTACCTTCTTCTTAGAATTTGTGTACACATTTAAGACTCATATTAACCAGTTGTACTGATAATAAGGCATACTAGGACAGTATTCTAGAACTCACAAATCCTGTGGTGCATAGTGAAAAGACAGAAGTCAACCCAAAAGACACACAGGACATCAACATAACTATAAAGAAAATGGAAAGAAGATTTGCCACGGAAGCCTGAATAGGATATTAGCAGAAGAAAGTAAGAGAACGGACAGGTATATGGAATAATGGATACATATAGGAAGAGAGGTGTGTTAAGGGGACAACATGTACTCTGACAAATGTTTTGGTATAGAAACAAAAATTCAATTTATGTCTATAGTACGTTTCTATGTACTATATAATACATATATGTACTTTTTCAAGTGAGGAAGAAGCCCATAAATTTATTAAGATCCACAGTTCTCAATCCCTAGAGATTTTGTTATTGCTCTAGGATTGGAACCTTATTTTTCTTTGGATCTACAAAACTTAGTCCACAAAACTTCCTACTATATTTGAGCATGAAGGTGTATTAGTGGATTTTCTGATGCCACTACACAGACTGGACAAATTTTTATGAAAAGAGGTTTATTTTGGCTTCAGTTATGGAGGTCCAAGCCAAGCAGCAGGATCTAGTGATGGCCTTCTTGCTGGTAAAGCCGTAAAGCAGTACACCTTACAGGGCATCATATGGTGAAAACTCAGAATGAACATGTGTGTCTATGTCTCTGTCCAGCATTCAATGGTAAGGACTCCTATGGTGTTATCTAATCTTATTAATGCCACAAAGGCCCCACCTATGAACATATATTTGGTTTAAGTTTCCACCCTCTTACAATGAAGATTAAACTTTAACACAGGAAGTTCTAAGAGACACTTTCAAATCACATCTAATCTATATTAGAAAGCTTTTTTTTTCACATTAAAACATTTCATAATAAGCCATGCTGGTGGTAGTTCATGCCTGTAATCCTAGCTACTCAGGAGGCTGAGATCTGAGCTGAGGATCACATTCAAAGCCTGCTTAGGCAGGACGTCTGTGAGACTCCTATCTCCAATTAACTACCAGAAAACTGGAAGTGGTGCTGTGGCTCAAGAGCTAGAGCACTAGCCTTGAGCTGAACAGCTCAGGGACAGTGCTTAGGCTCAGAGTTCAAGCCCCACCACTGAAAAAAAAATCATAAATTCCTATACTGTAGTAATTACATTTTTATTCACCCTACAAATAATACTAGGTTTACATGGTGTTGGTCTATTACCTTCTCTTTTCACTTGTGCAGTTTAGGAACCTATGTCATTTTAGAGAGAAATGGGACATTTAAAGTGCTACCATAATATTTTGATGTAGTATATGAGAGACCCTTACCTTCTTCTTAGAATTTGTGTACACATTTAAGACTCATATTAACCAGTTGTACTGATAACAAAAATTTCTAACTTGAAAGTATTTTGAGTTAACTAAAAACATTTTTTTTCCTCAGTAAACACTGGTGGAAATAAGATTCATTAAAAACAGCTTTATCATTCTGATAAAAAAAAATGCAATGTACTTTGACAAAGTGTATTAATTGCTCTAATATTGGCTGGCAAAAATTACAAAAACATTTGATAGGACCCATAAGTAGTTTCTGCATCAGAATTTCTTAAAGAATTATTAAAATAGTACCAAAGAATTCTAGGCTTAAACTGTTATGTGTAACTATATACATATTTATGACTTTTTCTTTTATTTTTTCCTTTTGTTTGTGTAGTTTCTGTGGGAAGAGACTTTGAAGTATCAGTCTCAAATAGCCCAAGAACTGCTATCTGTGTACCTCCATTGGCCGCTACTTCTGTAAAGCCCCAGGTTGGCTGTACTGAGGACTACTTGCTCTCCAGGTTACCATCTGATGGCAAAGACGTACCATTTGTGGTGCCCAAGTTTAAGTTATCTTATATTCAGCCCAGGACACAAGGACCTCATCCACCTCTGGAAGAACTTGAAGGTAAACAATAAAGTGGTAGGATTTAAAATTCAACAAAATGTTGTTTATATATATCTTGAATCTGAAATTTTTGTTTTGTTTTGTTTTGCCAGTCCTGGGACTTGAACTCAGGGCCTGTGCACTGTCCCTGAGCTTCTTTTGCTCAAGGCTATAGCACTCTACCACTTGAGCCACAGTGCCACTTCTAGCTTTTTCTGTGTATGTGGTACTGAAGGATCAAACCCAGGGCTTCATGCTTGCTAGGCAATCACCTACCATTAAGCCACATTCCAGCCTGAATGTAAAATTTCTATAAAAAGTATAACTTGCTTTTTATATATCTTTTTTTTTTTTTTAAATTTTATTTTATTTTATTTGAGAACATACTGTACAGAGGGGTTACAATTACATGGGCAGGATAATGCATACATTTCTTACCCAGCATTGCAGCCTCCTCCTTTGTTTACCCTTCACCTCCCTTCCCAGCCTCCCCCCTCCCCCCCACCCAATCATACCCCCCCTCCCCCCCACCCACACCGACATTGTAAAGCTGGTTTTGACATGACATTTTGTACTTCTCATTGTTGCAACAGGTCCACCTGAATCCTTAAACGACTTGTTTGTCCCCATCTCCTCCACATGTTATACTGACATCAAATGTAGTGAAAGCAGGGGTTACACTGTGGGGGAGGGACATACAAAGCAACCAAGAAATAATCTTATAAATGCGTTAGAAACACATGCATGAAAGAAACAAAAACATTAAAATACATATTTGAGGGTTCGTTTTCCTAACATCACATTCTCTGACTTTTTCCGCTTGACTCATACCTATACTAGATGTTGCAAATAAGGGAAACCATGGGACCTATGTTTCTTTGGGCCTGGCTTACTTAATATAATTTTTTCCAAGCCTTTCCATTTCCTAACAAATGGGGCAATGTCATTCTTTCTGATGGAGGCATAGAATTCCGTTGTGTATATATACCACATTTTCTTGATCCATTCATCTACTGAGGGACATCTGGGTTGGTTCCATATCTTAGCTATGGTAAATAATGCTGCAATAAACATAGTTGTGCTGGTAGCTTTAGTGTGGTCTTTTTTGTAAATATTAGGGTAAATGCCCAAAAGTGGGATTGCTGGGTCACTTTTTAATATATCTTATCTTTCTGTAGAGGAGCTTATGTCTTGTGGTTTCAAAATATCCCATTATGAAATATGGCCACAATATAACCTATATGTGTATAGGTTTTGCTTTCATGTAAAGGAATAATTACATGCCTTGATCTTCCTTCACACTTTAAGAAAGAAATTTGATCAGTAAACAGAGGAATAGGTATAGCTTCTTATCAGCTATTTTCTAAAACTTGGTGCAATGAGAAATAAGGAAACAAGTAGTTTATCTTTCTACACTAGCCTATATTTCCCAACTAAATGGCTATGTGAAAAAGGTAATTCATTGACTATAGTCTGACATGCTAATGAGGATAAGAGGAAGGAATATGTAACTCTCATTTATTTTCTGTGCTGGTTCTAGGGCTTGAACTCAGGGCCTAGGTGCCATTCCTAAGTCTTTTTTTTTTTTTTGGTCAAGGCTGATCCTCTACCACTTGAGCCATAGCTCCACTTTTTGGCTTTTTTGGAAGTTAATTGAAGATAAGAGTTTGAATTTTCCCTCTCAGGCTGACTTTGATCTCAATCTCTTCAGTAGGTAGAATTACAGGCATGAGCCACCAGTGCTTGGCAAAGGTATAACCCAATTTGATCTCAAACCCTTGATCCTTCTGCCTCATCCTCCTCATTGATTATTGGTGTGCACCTTCAAAGCTGGCTGTAGCTCTTATTTTAAATAATTTGTGTTAGTGTATTTAAACACTGTCGATTATAGTGGCTTCCCTGTAACTCTCAAAATTAAAAGTTTCAAATATACAGAAAAATGTAAAGATCTTAATAGTGTTACCTGTGTGTTCACTTCTTAGATTCATTTATTAACATTTTTACTATACAAGCATGCACGTGTGTGTGTGTGTGTGTGTGTGTGTGTGTGTGTGTGTGTGTGTGTGTGTGTGTGTGTGTGTGTGTGTGTGTGTTGTGTGTTTGTGCCCAGCCTGGGGCTTGAACTCAGGGCCTGGATGCTTTCCCTGAGCTACCATTCTTCTTGAGCCACAGTTCCACTTTTGGCTTTTTGGTGATTAGAGATAAAGGAGTCTCCTGGGCTGCCCTGCTTGGGCTGGCTTCGGACTGCAATCTCAGCCTTGACATTTTAGAGTAAATTGAAGACATCAGTACACTTCCTTGTTATATAACATATATATATGTTATATAAATATGTACTATGTACATACATATTTACTGAAGTTCAGTGATCTTTTTATATATCTTTTGACAACAATCTTATACACAATGAATTGTCCCAGTGCACACTTGTTGAATGTTATACATTTTTTTTGAATTTAAAATGTATCTTTGTTGAATACTGACATTATAGTATACAAATAATATATTGCAATTGTCTGTTAAGACCAGTGCCTCTGTGTTGTCCCTGAGCTTTATTTGCTTAAGGCTAGTGTTCTTCCATTTTAAGCCACTTCTGGTTTTTTGGTGGTTAATTGGAGATAAGGATCTCATGGATTTTTCCTGTTTTTTCCTCATATCTCAGTCTCATGAGTGCTAGGATAAGGAGCTTGAGCTACCAGAGCTTGATCTTTGTTTTCTTTAGATTGTAAATTCATGGTCGCTTGCCCCTATTATTTCCATTCTGCTTTTAAGCTTAACTAGTGGATATTTTCTTTCAGATATTGCATGTTTCAGTTCTAAAATTCATATATTCATAGGTTTCATTTCTCTTCCAATTTCCCATTTTTACATTATTACAAATCTGTTTTCTTTCATGTGGTTTATCTTTGCTCATTTCAAACATCTATACATCTAGATTTAGGTACTGTTGACTATCTTCTTTTTTTTTTTTGAGGATGTATTTTCCAGCATCTTTCTAAAGCATGTGATTTTCATGTTCCGTAATTTTGTGTTCTGGACATTGATTGTTACGTGGTCAAGACTACATTTGATTACGTTAATCTGAGAAGTCATGTTTTCTCTCCTTTCTGTCTGTCCTTCCCTCTCACTCACTCTTTGCCTTTCTCTGTCTTTCTACCAGATGTATAACTTGGTTGAACTTAAACTACAAATTCAACCCTTGGATGGTTGTTCAGGTATTAGCCATATATTTGAGCCCATTTTCTTTGCAGAATTTGGGACATGCTTCTTTCCAGGATTCTCACCTTTCTTTCCAATGGCTCTGGATGCCTGGTTTGCTGTACTATGGTTTATTTGCCAGTTTGCTATTGGAGTGTTATATACCCTGCATGGTGTCAGCTTTGGCCTACACTCAAGCTAAAAATAATCAAAAACAGATAACTTTATACTGTTTCTTTTTTTCCAAGAGTAACTCCTGTCAAAAATCCATACTGTTAGCTGGGCGCTGGTGGCTCACGCCTGTAATCCTAGCTACTCAGAAGGCTGAGATCTGAGGATCATGGTTCAAAGCCAGCCCAGGCAGGAAAGTGAGACTCTTATCTCCAATAAACCACCAGAAAACCAGAAGTAGCTCTGTGGCTCAAGCAGTAAAGCGATTGCCTTGAGCTGAAGAGTGCAGGGACAGTGCCCAAGCCCAGAGTTCAAGCCCTTCGACCGACCTACCAAAAAAAAAAAAAAAAACCCACAGTTTTTCTAGGCTCTGCAGTGTCAATAGAGATTTGTTTGTTTTCTGTTTTTCTCCAGAGTTTATCTCTAAGGGAGGATAAGTCTAGAGGAAGAGATTTTTCTGTGTGGGTACGGATCCTGGGGCTTGAACTCAGGGGTGGGCGCTGTCCCAGGACCTGAGGCAAGCACTCTGCCCTTAAGCCACAGCTTCTGGCTTTTTGGTGGTTAATTGGAAATAAGAGTCCCAAGAACTTTGCTGCCCAGACTGGCTTCCAACTGTGATCCTCAGATCTCAGCATCCTGGGTAGCTACTGGCACCTGGAGAGATTTTGTTTTGTTTTGTTTTACTTTACAAAAAGGGAAAGATGGATCTTCCATTTTATTATACACATATCAAGTGTATCTCAAAACAATTATTTAAAAGATTCTGGCTTAAAAGGTATGCTAATTCATTTTTTCTTTCATACTTGTTAAAAAGCAAGTTTCACAATCTTTTATTCATATCAAATATTTATGAATGTGTTTTCATATTTATTGCTTTTTAATGGATCTACAGTATTTCATCATATGGATGAGCCATTATTTAATAAGTAGTCTATTTCAAGACAACTTATTAGGGTGCAGTATGTGTTTTCCTAATCAGGAAAAAAGTAAGAAATAGCAATATATGGTCATTTTTCTTTTGCTTTTTTCGTTACGCTCACTACAAAACAAATTGCCTTTGGAGTCAAGTGAATGAGAAATTGGTTATTCTTAAATTAGAGGTCAATCAAGGGTGTTGTGTCACCATCTAGTTTTAATATATTAGAGAAGATTTACTTCAAAAAGTTTAGACTCAAGAAGAAAGCTCTCTTGGAACCTAATCATAATATTTGTGTGCATATATGCATTGCATGTATGAATGATAGATTGAGATGAAGAAGAAAATTTTGAGAAGATGGACCACTATCGCTGAGGATTAAAATTGTCTCAGGTATTAGAGATTTATTCCTTTGCACTGTTTACTTGTTGATTGTCTGATCCAGTCTGTTTTGATATCAGACTTTAACGCTACCATTTTGTTGTTCTTTATCACATATTTTACTTGTTCATTAGTAGTACATATTCTGAATTTAAAAATGAATTTATTTTTATTTTGTCAGTCGTGGGGCTTGAACTTTGGGTCTGGGCGCTATCCCTTAGCTCTTCAGTTCAAGGAGAGCACTCTACCACTGGAGCCACAGCACCACTTCTGGTTTTCTGAGTGGTTTATTGGAAATATGAGTCTCCTGGAGTTTCTGGCCCGGGCTGGCTTTGAACTGTGATCCTCAGATCTCAGATTCCTGAGTAGTTAGGATTACAGGTGTGAGCCACCGATGCCCGGCTAAATATGAATTTTGAAAGTTGTACATAGTCAGAAACTTTGCATTATTTACTGCACTGTGGGTTAGTACACTGAGATAAAATTTCACCAGAATCTGAAAAATGATACCAGTGTATACCATATAATGGGAAAATTGCAATTGTTTAGTGATTTTTCTAAAGAAAAAATGAAATGAGAAAACTGTATTCTTTTTTAGATGTAGGTTATCAAAGTGGTAAGTTATCTCTGGTATTCCTACTCTTGAGAGTTCTAATGATCAGTGTTACTATAACAAGGACTGTCCTAGCAATGTTGTATGCTAGCTACTGAAAAGTTAGAAGTATACAGACAATAGCTCAGGAATCACAGCTTCTTGGCACCCTTCTGCCTCTGTGCTGTTCTTGAATTATATACAGTGGTGTTTGAACCAGGAGGATAAGAAATCACATCTCCTTCTCAATATTTTTCTTTTCTGAATTCAATGCAAAATCATCTTATTATTTAGCTTAATTCAGAAAGTATCATTTTATACAGGGTGTTCCAATTTAAAGTAGAACAAAAATAATTAAAAGATGACATTGTATGCCTCTGAATTTTTTATGCCTATATGTTGTTTCCAGTACAACTATTCTCCTTCAAAGGAATTTTATGAATACCTTTTCCCTTAAGTTGTGAGAAATCATTCACATGTAGGAAAATGTCCTAGCCAGAAACATACAGCTTGGTGATTTGTTGCAAAGTAAAACACCTGTAAGTCATCACCCAGGTAAAGAAATAGTGTTACCAGATACTCCAAAGCTCCCCTCTTTCCTTTTTAGTTATTCAGAGTAATCAGTATCACAATTGTTGTCATTCTCCTGTTTCTTACCACCAAAGCACATATTCCTAAATATTGTGCCTTAATATTTTTGTTTTCTAACCTTTATCTAAATGGCCTATTCAGTATGTATTCTTTTTTGTGGGTTATTATTGAACACCCTATTTATGTGTGAGATTCATTCAAGTCATTGGTAGTTTTAGTTTGTTTTCATATCTGTACATAATGTATTACAGTATATAACTGATTCTAGATGGCATGCAATACAGTAGTGCTTTTGTGTAGCATATTGTTAGGTATTTTATGCAACAATCCCACACTGATTTTTGTCTGTTTTCCTGTTGATGGTATTTGAGTCTATCAGTTTGGGCCACTATAGAGAGTGATACTCGTGACCTTTTTCAGATACTTCTCTAGTGCATGTGTAAAGCAGTTTCAGCTGTGTTTGGAATGGCATTGTATGTCCACAGGGCATAAATATGTCAGTGTTAGTAGAATTCACCAAACTGTTTTCCACAGTGATTACATCAGAGTTACATTCCCACCAGCAGAATGTAATACTTTATAGTCAACACTTTCTTGTCAACACTTGCTATTATCTGAGTTTTACCCATTCTGCTGAGTGTCTGTCCTTTTACTGATTTATAGTGGTTCTTCATATAGTCTAGATACAAACTGTTTGTCAGTTATGTTGTACCATGTGTCTTCTCCTTTGTACTCTCTAAAATAGTATATTTCAACAAACAGAATTTTTTAAGTTATTGAGTAACTTAAACTGGCCCTCCACTGTGTAAGAGCCCTTAGCTAGCCACTTGAGCCATTCCTTCATCTCACAGGGCTCTAGGTCACTTTTAAGATAGAATCTCCCTTTTTGCCTGGGCCAACCTGAAACTACAGTCTTCCTAGCTATGCCTGTTGTTCAGCTGGCATTAGGCATGGATCACTACTCCCAGCATATCTGTTGCGATAGATCTCACTAGCTTTTGCCTAGCCTATCTTTGAACCTTCCTGATCACTACTTTACAAGTAGTTGGAATTGCAAGTATGAACCACTATGCCTGTGATTAATGTGCTCTGTGTTCCATTTCAGAACCCTGTCCTAAGGCAGTGAAAACTGTCTTACATGTCACTTAAATATAGAAGTCTTATTATTTTGCTTATAACATTTAATTTGAACTATCAACCCATGTAATTAATTTTTACTAATATTAAGTGAAACCTTATTTTCTTTCCACATCAGTATCCAATTGTCTTTAGCACTTGAGTTTCGGTTCATCCTTTCCCTGCTACTGAGCAGGGTTACTGAGACCATATATCAGGTGCCCATAAAATGGTATCTCAGGGCTTTCTTTTCTGTTCCATTAATCTGTTTGTCATGATGTCAAAATTCTGTTTTTAACACTCAGAAGAATAAATTTTTCAGTTTTTTTGGGGGAGGGGTTGTTTATTTTGTTTTTACTGAAGATTATTTTTTTGGCTGTTCTTGGTCCTTAGTCTTTCCATAAATAGTTTCTGTACACATTTTTGTTACTTGATTTCCAACTTAATTGCAACTTTAATTATGGTTAAAAAAAAAAAAAGAAAAGCCTGTACTTTGAATGATTTCAGTCTTTTCAAATATCACAACTCTTCAGTTTATCTCAGTATGTGGTCAGGGTTTTTTTGTTTTGTTTTGTTTTTTTAATTCCAGTACTAGGGCTTGAACTCAGGATCTTGAGCTTTTGCTTGCATTTTTGGTCACAGCTGGTATTCTACCACTTGAGCCATGCACCCACTTCTGGCTTTTTGCTGGTTAATTGGAGATAAGAGTCTCTTAAATTTGTCTGCCTGCCTTCAGATCTCTTCCCCCACATACCAGCTTCCTGAGTAACTAGTCATCGGTGCTCAGATAGTGTTGGTTTTTGTAAAAGTTGTGTCTTCTTAAAAAGGGTGGATCTAAAAACAAAATATTTTTGTTTAAAAGATGTCTTATAATGTTAAGTTAAAAAAAATAAGGAAAAGCTCAGGTTACAAAACAGAAAATTATCTGTAGAGCAACAAAAAGGGGGAAAAAATCATGTGTAGAGATGTCACAGTGAAACTCCCTCATTACAAATGTATGTTCACTCAAAAAATAAAAATAAAATAAAAATTCTAAAATTTACCAGACTGTCTTAACAGCAGGATTCCTGGTCCTATCTCACATATAGTAACTTTACACAGAACCTCATAAAAGGATACTGATTTTTTTCCTTTTAGCTATGAAGGGTGTGTGATTTAATGTTACCTGAGACAAAACTGTTTTTCCTTTGTGTGTACCAGGTTTTGGCTTACAACTCTTCTCTAAAGGATATTGTAAAATGTTAGAAACATTTGCTTTCAGGATCTGCCAGAGCATCTTTTGGAGATCGAAAGGTAGAACTTTCCAGTTCATTACAGCATGGTTCCAGCTATGATGTGTACAATCCCTTCTACCTGTATCAGAGCATCTCACCTGACTTGAGCCGGCGCTTCCCTCCTCATTCAGAAGTGACAAGACTGTATGGGTCAGGTATAAAACCTTTTTGTGCTTTTCCTCTGTGTTTCTCCTTAAAAATTTTAGAAATCAGCCAGGCGCTGGAGGCTCACACTGGAGATCTAAGGATTGCAGTTTGAGGCCAGCCTGAGCAGGAAAGTGTGAGACTCATCTCTATTAACCATCAGAAAGCCAGAAGTGGCTCTGTGGTTCAGAGTGGGATAGCACTAGCTTTGAACAGAAGAGCGCAGGGACAGCACCCAGGCCCTGAATTCAAGCCCCATGATTGAGAAAAAAAATTAGAAATCAAATTGTCTTCTAAGACTCTGTCAGAAATTATTTGTATTATTAAAAATTTATGGAAGGTTGACATTGTCCAAAAAGAATTGTTCCTTTAAGTTATTTCTATAATTGTGACCCCTCTGTACATCCCCTTTATAATAACAAAAAAATTATAGCTGGGTATAGTGTCTTATATCTATATCCTAACTACTTAGGAAGCTGCGGTCCAAGAATTGTGGTTTGGAGCCACAGACAAATCCAAAAGATTCATCTCAGTTAACCAGCAAAAAACTAGAAGTAGTGATGTGACTCAAGTAGAATAACGTAAATGGAGAATACCAAGCAAGAAAGAACTCAAGCCCCAGTACCAGTACACACGTATACACACAAATTTTAAGTATCGTAACTTCTTTGTAGTAGTATATTAATATAATTATATTAATGTAATTAATAGAATGAGAGAAGGAAATAAGGGAGACTGACGAAAACAGTGTCATTGATAAAGATGCATTGTACTTGTAACCTGACTTATGAAATTCTAACCTTATGAAATTGTAACCAACTTAATGATATATATATGTGTGTGTATATATATAAATATATATATATATATATATTTATTTATTTTTGGCTGGTCATGGGCCTGAACTCTGGGCCCTGGGCAGTGCCCCTCAGGTCTTCAGCTTAAGGCAGTGCTCTACCATTTAAGCCACAGCACCACTTCTGGCTTTTTCTGCTTATGTAGTGCTGAGGAATGGAACCCAGGGCCTCATGCATGCAAGGCAAACACTCTTCCACTGAGCCACCTTCCCAGCCCTTAATAAAATATTTTTAAAAAGAAAAAAGAGCCAGGTACCCGTGGCTCACACCTATAGTCCTAGCTATTCAGGAGGCTGAGATCTGAGGATTGCAGTTCAAAGCTAGCCTGGGCAGGAAAGTCTGTGAGACTCTTATCTCTAATTAACCACCAGAAAACCAGAAGTGGTGCTGTGGCTCAAGTGGTAGAGCGCTCACCTTGAGCTGAAGAGTGCAGGGACAGCGTGTCAGCCCAGAATTCAAACCCCACAACCAACAAAAAGAAAAAGAAAAAAGATTAATGCATTGTGTTTGTCGGTAGCTCCAAAATCCATTTTTTCCTATTTTTAAAGTTTTGTTTTTAAGTTATTTTGTGCATATTTTATGTATTAGCTATTCAAGTGAATTCTGGAACACCTATTAATAAGCTTTTTTTCTTCAATCTGAATCGCTTAAATTTAAGAGCTTACAATGTAATTAGAAATATAAAACTTTCAGTTTCTTATCAGTTATAGGCTACTTTATGTGCTTCCACTTTATAAAATTATCACAACTTTTCAAATCTTTGATACAAATCTGGGTCATTCATATATGTGTGTATGCAGACAGGAGGTAGATACATAGATATCATTCGACCACTGAATTCAGAGTAAGATATTGAATAAAGAAAGAATATTTACTGAGGTACCTACTCTGTTCTTGAATGTACATTTGGAAGATGGAGTTTGTTTATTTTCCAATTTAAAATGTGCTGAGTGCCCACTAAGTAACTGAATTGCACTCAGCACAGAGTACTTATGTACTCTTAGATTATTCTCAAATGAAAATTTGAGAATGTAAACAAAAAAACCTGTTTATGACTCTAAAAAATGTGTTGTTTCTATTTAGTTGTTTCAAACAAAAGGAAAATCATTGAAAAATGTTTTAGATTTCACCAGAAAACTTTATTATGTAGATTTTCATATGACGTATACAATATGTTCTACTAGGAACTTAGCTTATGATGAAACTCTGTGCTTCATTTTCATTTTCAATTTTTTTTTCATTTAGTGGTTGTGGGATATGAACTCAAGGCTTTGTGCTTGTTAAGCAGGTACTCTATCACTTGAAACACACTTCCATCCCTTCTGCAGTTATTTTTCAGATAAGTCTTTTTTGCCCAGGAGAGCTTTCCACCATGTTGGGATACAGGCACATGCCACCATAACCTACTGTTTTTGTTTTTGTTTTTTCTTTTGTCAGTCATGGGGCTTGGACCCGGGACCTGACCTCTGTCCCTGAGCAGTTTTGCTCAAGGCTGATGCTTTACCACTTTGAGCCACAGAGCCACTTCAGTTTTCTAATGGTTAACTGAAGATAAGTCTCACAGACTTTTCTGCCTGGGCTGGCTTTGAACCATGATCCTCAGATTTCAGCCTCCTGAAACAAATTATAAGATTGAGTATTTTTGATAAATTATATAAAGAAGTCAGAATTGATCTTTTTTTTTTCTTTTGGTACTGGGGCTTGAACTCTGGGCCTGGGCTCTGTCCCTGAGCTCTTCAACTCAAGACAAGTGCTCTACCACTTGAGCCACAGCACCGCTTCTGGTTTTCTGGTGGTTTATTGGAGCTAAGAGTCTCACAAACTTTCTTGCCTGGTCTGGCTTTGAACTGGGGGCCTTAAATCTCAGCCTCCTGAGTGGCTAGGATTACAGGTGTGAGCCATCAACTCCCTGCTTGAAAGGAGGATTTGGGGAACTGTTTTGTTTGGACTAGCCTGGAACCACAGCCCTCCCCATTTCAACCTCCCAGGTCTTGCAAGCTTTTTGCCCAGATTGGCCTGCAATCACAGTGCTCCAATCTCTACTTCTCTAATAACCACAGGCATGACCCATCACTGCTCACCTTATTTTCTTTCCTATAAAAAGCAATACTTTTCTCTTGTCCCTTTGTAGTTTGTGATTTAAGGACCAGCAAGCTTCCTGGGTCCCCTGGGCTAAGCAAATCTATGTTTGATCTTACAAGTTCATCTCAGAGATTCACCCAGGTAAAGTAATATTATTTCAAAACTAAAATTGTGTGATTTTTTTCAAATTAAAAATTCTGAAAGGTGTGAATTACATTAGATATTACAAATTTTCCTGTGATATATCCATGCTAATATCTGAAGAGTAAACACTTGACATTTTCCAGATGCATTCATTATTTTAAGAAATTCTTAGTTAACTAATAAAAAGTAGTGTTTTTCTGTTGTTCATTTTTCAAAAAGTTTATATTTCTCAGTTTGTATATACATAAGGAATCGTTATACAGGTAGAATTCAAAATGGTATAGTTAAAAATGGTTATTTAATTTTCCTTATGAAACAAACTAGTTACTAAGAGTGTTTCTTTTCAGATGTAGTAATTGCTGATGGTTTTTGAAATGGAATTGTGAATTTTCTGATACTTTAAAGATGTTTCGTTTTTAGTGCAAATAAACTATTTGAAATTAGTAACTATTATAATTAGGAAACAGAGATAAGCAAAGCAAAAAAAGAAATCATTGGTATTTCTGTAAATGAAAGCAGGAACGCTCGAAAATGTGTGTGTGTGTGCACGTGTGTGCTTGTGTGCTCGATACTTGTAGACTTCAATGTGAAAATAAAATGGAAGTGTATTCTAAGTCATTCACAAAAATTCTTACCTGAGATAATTCTTTATAGCATTAGTCTTTGAACAAGTATAGAATTGTTTGGAGAGGTTGTTAAAATACACACTGTCAGGCTCCAAATCCAAGTTTTAATTTAGTAACCCAGCGATGTGACCTGAGGATGCATGTGTGTGCGTGTGTGTGTGCGTGCGTGCATGGGTATGCCAGCATGTGCCAGTCCTGGGGCTTGAACTCAGGGTCTGGGCAATGTCCCCTGAGTTTTTTTCTCAAGGCTAGCACTGCCACAGCTCCACTTCTGGCTTTTTGTTAGTTAATTAGAGACAAGAATCTCATGAACTTTCCTTCCTGGACTAGCTTCCAACCATGATCATCAGAACTCAGCCTCCTGACTGGCTAGGATTATAGTGACAGGTGCCCAGCTGGGACCTGAGTTTTATTTGTACCAACCTCCTAAGTGCTGCTGTGTTTTGATTTTCAATAATGATTTTTAAGTATGAAATTTAAGAAATTATCTGTTAAAAACTAAACCAAAAATAAAGCCTTTTCAGTTTATTATCTTGTAAAATATTTAAGAGTTATCTGTTAACCATGTGCAGAGAAAGCTTTTTATCCCTCTACTATACAAAAATGAGGGCCAAGCATGGAGGTACATGTTTGTAATCCCAGCTACTTAGGAAGTGGAGATAGGAGGATGGTGATCTGAGGCTGTCACAGGTAAATGATAAGAGCCTATTTGAAAAACAAACTGAAAGCAAAAGAAGGACTGTATATAGCTTGAGTGGTAGAGGACTTTCTTAGCAAGAGCAAGACCTTGAATTTAATCTTCAGTACCGTGACCAATAATTAACAATATAGTTATAGTGTATGTAATAATATAATAATTATTATGTATGCTATAAATATATAATATATTGTTATATTCTATAATTGTTAATTATATATTATATAATTATAGGTAGGTATTACATTAATAATAACTATGATGATGATGATAGTAGGAGGTTCTGACCACTAATACTACCAAAATGATTAGCATGCAGTTTGACACTAGGGTGATTATTGGGGCATATCAAGTTTGATACGCAATTTTTAACTAAAGGAATTTTTTATTTGTAGAGACATGACTCACTGTCCAGTATACCTAGTAGTTCTTCTTCAAGGAAAAACTCTCAAGGCAGTAACAGAAGCCTGGGTAAGAAATCAATAATCCTATTTTTATAATAAGAGAATTATTTCTGCTCAGTATTAATTAAAAAATTTATTATGTAAAAAGTGATATAAATTACACAATTATATCTATATTGGTGGAATTAACAGCACTGTATAGTCTGTATAGTGATCCATTTCTCAGTGTTCAGACTTGAGTGACTCTTTTTAAAAAATGAAGCATTAAATATCCTTTGTTTATTTTAAAGTATATGAATGAACTTCCAGAATCGTGTGGTTTTAAGGCCTTATAAATGTTATTTGGGAAGCTTTTTTAGAGTTTTAACTTAAATTCTTCACCCTACATCTGCTTATATTTTTAAGCCATGTACCTTGTATACTGTATTTTATCCATGTCACTTCAATAAAAACATAGAAATGTGTTTTTGTTTATTAAATTGAGAACTTTAAAAAATAATTGTTACATCTTTTTCAACAGTGCTCTTAAAATTGGGTTGTATCAAAGGTTAATTGGGTCAAGGGATTGATTATTGAAATCTTTGTCTTTTCACATTCAGATACAATTACTCTATCAGGAGATGAAAGAGATGTTGGGAGATTGAATGTGAGATTGTTTTATAATTCTTCAGTAGATCAGATCTGGATCACAGTTCTCCAGGTAAATTGGAATAGTTAACACCAACCCTTATTGCAAAATTGAGTCTTTACTCCTGTAAATAGTTCTTGTTGCCCTCTTTTGGGGAAAGAGCCCTTCCCCAGAAGAACTGACATCAAAGTTTAAGAAGGTAGTTGCATCTAAGAAAACAAATCTGTGGTGTGAGTGATGTTTTAACTTTAAGAAGGAAATTGAGTAAATCTATAATACTTGATGTCAAAAATATTTCAATGTAGATGAAGTACATGAATGTACATGAACTCTTACAATTAAAATAGCTAAAAGTTAGCTTGAAAACTTGCCTAATGTCTTTAACTCAAATCAAATATTAGTATTTGCCAGTGTCTTTTGTAAAATTTAAACTCTACTTTAAAATTTTCAGTGTAGGGATTTATGCTGGCCTGCTAGTTATGGAGATGCTCCCACCATCTGTGTAAAAGGAGTTCTAACATTGTCCAAGCCAGTGCATTTCAAGTCCTTGGCTAAGGAGGCTTCCAATGTAAGTGGCTGTTTGTATTTGAGTTTCTTTTCTGCTTTCCTCATGTATTGGATTTATCTGTGTAAAGCATAAAAGTGAAAAAAAAAGGTTTTATTTAGGGAAACTAAAAATGATGTACTTTTGCTTTTATGCAGTTCTTGATTTTTTAAAATTTTTTATTGTAAAGATACTATACAGAGGGTTACAGTTACATGAGCAAGGTAATGAGTGCACTTCCTATTGAGCATTATTACCCCCTACCATCCCTTCCCTCCCTACCAGTTCTTGCTTTTTAAAGATAATTTTGCAACCCCCCTCCAAATTTAATATTTTATTGTTTACTATTAAGGTGTATTTAAAATTTTGAATCACTAGAACATATATAAAGAATATTACCAGTAACTAAGAAGCCTATTATTCTTGTATAAAAAGAAAAAAATGGCTGGATGCCATTCCAGTGGCATCTCCTAGCTACTCAGGAGACTGAGATCTGAAGATCACAGTTCAAAGCCAGCCCAGGCAGGAAGGTCCATGAGACTCTCATCTCCAATTAACCAACAAAAAGTGGAACTTTGGTTCAAGTGGTAGAGCTCTAACCCTGAGCACAAAAGCTCAGGGACAGTGCCCAGGCCCTGAGCTCAAGCCCCAAGACTGGTGCAAAAAGGAAAAGAAAAAAAGTGTGCATTTTCATCTTCTCTTGCCCCTAATGCACTTGGGCTTTGGAAAATAATTATACACTTGAAATTAATCTCTTTTAAGTGCTTCCAGTTATTATAATTGGAGGACTTAAAATCCTGAGTTTGATTTTATCCATTCTTGTTTTCACATAAATTTAACTAGATGTTTATTGTTGCCCTTTGGTATGTGCAAATAAAAAGTATGTTGTAAAAGAACATATTGTTTAAAATGAACAATTTTTTTTTTTTTTGGTGGGGTCAGGAGGGAGCTCCGGTTGTGGGAACTGAACTCTGAGCCTGAGTGCTGTCCCTCAGCTCTTCAGCTCATGGCTAGCACTCTACCACTTGAGCCACAGAGCCACTTCCGGCTTTTTTCTTTTTGCTTATGTGGTGCTGAGGAATCGAACCCAGAGCCTCATGCATGCAAGGCAAGCACTCTACCACTGAGCCACCTTTCCAGCCCAAAATGAACAGATTTGAATAACTAATAAACATGAAAAAAATTGCTCTCACTTTAACATAGAAACACAAATTCAGATTACATAAGGTACTTTCTCTTCTTTTTCATGTTAGAATTAGGAAATATAAATTTAGAGCTTACAAGTTTTTGGAAAATTTTTGCTTTTTGTTGCTGTTACTTTTTTTGCTGGTCCAGGGGCTTGAACTCTGGGCCTGATCTTCTTTTGCTCAAGGCTAGCACTCTACCACTTGAACCATAGCCCCACTTCTGGCTTTTTCTGAATAGTTTATTGGAGATAAGAGTCTCACAGACTTTCCTGCAGAGGCTGGCTTCAAACTGCAATTCTCAGATCTCAGCATCCTGAGTAGCTAGGACTATAGACATGAGCCACTGCCACCCAGCTTAATATTTGTTGGTTTTTTAATTTTATTATTTTTATACTATGTGAAAACATAGTAATTCTACTTGGATTCTGCTCCATGGAAATAATCTAGAATGCAAATAGGAACATATATAAAATATTCTTGGTAGTTTTGTTCACAATGGAAAAGTTGAAAACAATTTAACCTCTCACAGAGGACTGATTGGGAGATCTGATGGTGTATATATATGTATTCATTTGCTAGAGTTCCTGTAAAAAAAGAACTATACTTTTTTTTTCAAACAAAGAAATTTTGGGCTGAGGTTGTAGCTCAGTGATATGGTACTTACCTATCATCTGTGAATCCCTGGTTTTAATTCCCATACTACAAGAAGAGGAAAGGGCAGAAATAGATCTTTCACAGTTTCAGAAGTCTAAAATTGAGGTGTTAACAGTGTTGGTTCCATGCCTGTCTCCTGTGTTTGTGACAACCAGTAATTCTTGGCACTCCTCATTTCTTGGCTTGTATAAACCTAACTCTAGTCTCTTCTTCCATCTTTCCATGGCCTTCTTCCTAGTCTTTTTCTCTTCACATAGTCATCTTCTTACAAAGACACTAATAAGAGATCTGCCCTGTTCCAGTATTAACTTGGCCACCCTTATCCTCAGTGGTCCTGTTTCCAAGGGAGCTCACATTCTGAGGAGTTGGAAGCTAAGACTTCAGCATGTCTTTTTGGAAATATGACTCTATGTGATGGAACACTAAGCAGCTATGAATTGTTCCTATTTAGGGAGAACTTTTAAGGAATTGGAAAAATGCTGTTAATAAATGGAAAAGGATAAAAAAATCAAAATTGTGTATCAGAATCTTGCTTTATGAAAATACGTATCATAGAAAGACTAGGTAGAATTAAATTTTAACTCTGGTTAAAATCTGAACACTCAAGTATAAACACTTTGTGAATTTAAGCATTTTTACTTTTTGATTTTCAAATAAAACTAAGGTAACAGGGAAAGTTAGGAATAAACGTTATTAATGTTAAAACCTGTTAAAAATTCTTTTTAATTTTATTTTTCAAACAAATGTGAAAAATCTGCAGTAAAGTACACTTGCTTAATCTATAAGATTTTAACATGTTTTTGTGTTGTACTGGTATGGTCATATAATCTTCAGGGTTTAAAAGAAAAAGCTTACTGTATGGGAGACAATTGTGACTGTGCAGACATGAGCATTTATAAGAGTGAAAATTTAGGCCCAGTAGCCAAAATAATTGGCCATTTACATTTTCTTTTCAGAAAGAGGCACTAAAGTTTGAAAGAAAGAAGTACATAGCAGAGTCTAGTATTCTTTATAATGAAAGAAATAATTCCAGGCTTTTTGTGTGACTGTTAGATGCTAGATACCAAGTGCTCCGCATTTGAAATTAGCACACATTATTCTCATCAAGTATTCTCATTAACTGTTGAAAAATCATGGTGAGTAGCAGGAAAGATAACAGAACCAAAATGAAAAACTAGACTTATTTTCAAAAAGAGAAAACTGATTCTGATAAGCCTGGTGTTGAGATTAATCTGAATTCCTAAATAATTGTAAGATTAAATTGTGATGTTAAAGAAGGTAGAATTCAGGATAACTATGGAAAAAGAAGTAATAGACATTGTTTTTATTTACATTAAAAATATATTTGTTGTTTTTGTGAAAAAGACTAGGTATTCTTTTCCCGGATTAAAAAGTATTATTTTATAATGGCAAACATACATTTTGTTTTCTTATTTCTTTTTAAGGTTATTGAATTTATGGAAACTTTTGTATTTTCTATTAAACTACAAAATTTGCAAACTGTGAGACTGGTATTTAAGATTCAAACCCAGACTCCCAGAAAGAAAACCATTGGAGAATGTTCCCTATCACTCAGAACTCTCAGCACACAGGAAATGGATTACTGTTTGGATATTATACCACCTTCAAAGATTTCTGTAAGTGATAATAGTCTGCAGTGTCATAACTACTTCCTATTTAAGAATGGTTTAATATATAGATTTTTGTTTGTTGGAAAATAACTGGAAAATTATGGACTATTAGAGGATTAGAAAAGTGCCTGGCTAGAATGGAAGTTTTTACAGCTAATGTTTTTAGTGAAAAATATAAATTTGTGTGTGTGTGTGTGTGTGTGTGTGTTCTATATGGTTTTTTGTTTTGTTTTGCCAGTCATGGGGCTTGAACTTGGGGCCTGGGCATGGTCCATGTCAAGGCTAGTACACTACTACTTTGAACCACAGCACTACTTCTGGTTTTCTGGTAGTTAATTGGAGATAATCTCATGGACTTTCTTGTCCAGGCTGACTTTGAACCCTGATCCTCAGATCTCAGCTTCCTGAGTAACTAAGATTACAAGCATGAGCCACCAGCACCCAGCTAAATTGAATTTTGTTCTATATATTTCATTATTTTTTGATACCTGATACTTGCTTCTTTCAGCCAACCAGCCAAGCATTGTTATTAAAGTATTTAGAGGGCTGGGAAGGTGGCTCAGTGGTAGGGCACTTGCCTTGCATGCATGAGGCCCTGAGTTCGATTCCTCAGCACCACATAAGCAAAAAGAAAAAAAGCTGGAAGTGGCTGTGGCTCAAGTGGTAGAGTGCTAGCCTTGAGCTGAAGAGCTGAGGGACAGCACGCAGGCCCAGAGTTCAGGCCCCACAACCGGACCCAAAAAATAAATAAAATATTTAGAAATCCCTAATGGTTGATAACATGTGTCATGATGACATTTATAGATATCAATTACAATTTTTATATGATCAAACATAAATGTGCTTTTCAGATTATATAGGATTTATTATACCTCTTCCAGTAATATTTAGGATGACTTGAAATGCTCTTTTTTTTTTGGGTCCGGTCGTGGGTCTGAACTCTGGGCCTGGGCGCTGTCTCTCAGCTCTTCAGCTCAAGGCTAGCACTCTACCACTTGAGCCACAGCGCCACTTCCGGCTTTTTTCTTTTTGCTTATGTGGTGCTGAGGAATCGAACCCAGGGCCTCAGGCATGCAAGGCAAGCGCTCTACCACTGAGCCACCTTCCCAGCCCCTCTTGAAATGCTCTTAACCCTGGGAATCACCTGGGAACCCAACCCAATAAAATTAAGATTTCTTGTAATTTCTTGTAGTTTTCAAAAGTTTTCAGATGATTCTAATGTGTAATCTAGCTTAAGAACCACCAAATTGGTGGAGAAATTGGAGACTTAAAAACAAAAACCAAAAAAAAAAAACACTAAAAATTACTATATCTGGTCAGAAGAGTTGAACTTTGTGTGTGTGTATATATTTGGTTTTTTGCCAGACGAAGGGCTTGAACTCAAGGCCTGAGCTGTCCCTGAGCTTTTGCTCAAGGCTAGCTCTGTACTACCTGAGCCACAGTTTCATTTCCAGCTTTTTAGTAGTTAATTGGAGATGAGAGTCTCATGGACTTTACTGAATTCAGCAGAAGTGAAGATATTTTCTGAGAAATGGAAACGTAAATGGAGACTTTACATGAGTGATTATAGCCAGATTTCATCTGACATTTTAATCTGTCAGAAGTCTTATAAGCAACCTGTATATCTACTGAATGCCAGTTATGAGGGATACAAGATTGATATCTTGAAAGAAGAACATTTGGACTTTTCTGAACCAGTGAATATATGTTACTAAATGTTGATGTTTTATATTATTGGCTAAGGCATATGATATGCATTGTTTCATGTGAGAAAGTAGATATTCTAATTGAAGGAACATTGAAGTAACTACACTTATATGCCCATCAACAGTGACAGCTGTTCACCGTGAATATTGATTTAGAACTAATACTTTTTTCTCAGTAGAATTCTTGACTTGACCAATAGTGATGTGTTTGCTTCAGAGCTTAAATTTTTGCGTTGAATGATATGAAAGAGACCAAGTTTGCCTGAAGAAATAGCCGACCTTTATAAGGATTTACCTAATGGCTGACTCATTGCTAAGTGACTTAAGTCTGTGCTCTGTCATCCCTGATATGGAGCACTTGTCTGAGTCCTTCCAGCTCGTTGTTAAAGAGTCACATCTGTCTCTAGGGTCAGCTCTCTGAACTCTGCCATGCAGTGTCACCCTAAAGAGAGCCTCTCAAGCATCACCAGATGATGTTTTTCTTTAATTACGCTTCATATTTCTCCCTTCTCTCTTTCTCCCTCCCTCCCTTCTCTATCTCTCTTCTCTCCTCTCTCTCTCTTTTCTCTCCTTTCTCCTCTCTTTTCTCAGATCTCTGCCTTTTAAGTAGCTAGGATTATAGATGTAGGCCACCAATGCTTGGCAAAATATTTCATTTTTAATAATCCTTGGAAAGCTAATGAAGTTTTCTTCCCAAAATGAGGCATGATTCAGGAGCAGAAATCATATCTTCTGCCTTCCTCACTTTTGTGCTCATCAAATGCAGTAAATATATACTTGCCCTTTGGAATTTTTAAGTTTTAAGTGATTATGAAATTAAAACTGGGTATATGTGTTGGTACATGCCTGTACTCCCAGCACTTAGAGGCTAATGTAAGAGGACTGTGGGTTCAAGGTTGGCTTGCATTACATAGGAAGACCCTGTCTCAGAAAACACAACAAGAGGGGCTAGAAGCTTGGCTCAATAGTAGAGCACCTGTCCTAGCAAGTACAAGGCCCTGAGTTCAAACCTTAGTACAAAATTATTTTTTTAAAAGATACAAAGCCAGGTGCCAGTGGTTCATGCATATAATCCTAGCTACTAAGGAGGCTAAGATCTGAAGATTCTGGTTCAAAGCCAGCCCAGGCAGGAAAGTCCATGAGACTCTTATCTCTAAAGAAACAAAAACAAAAACTAGAAAACTGGCAGTGGCACTGTGGCTCAAGTGGTAGAGCGCTCACCTTGAGCTGAAGAGCGCAGTGACAGCACCCAAGCCCAGAGTTCAGGCCCCACAACTGACAAATAAATAAAAAGATACAGTGTAATGACACACAGCTATGGTCTCAGCTACTTAGGAGAGAAGTAGGAAGATTACAGTATGATGCCAACCAATACAAAGTGAGCAAGACCCTACCTGAAAAACAAACTTAAAAACCCTATTACTGCCAAAAAGGGAAAGGGAACCTACTTCGAGTAGTTTTTAATTGTTTGAATTAATGTCCTGCAACATAAAGTAGATTTGTAAAATAATTTTGGAAAGTAGAAAGATGGTGGCAAGCCATTACCAAAGGTTGCTTTGTTTTGTGAGTGAACCATACCAATTATTAACAATAAGGAAAATTTGCCATTGTTAGGTCTTTTGATAAGTGTTTAAGCATGGGTATAAAATAATAGCAAAAAACCATAAAGCTATGGTTTTAACTGTGTTTTGTACACCATATCTTTCTTAATATCTCGATTTAAATGCCAGAGGCTTTGTTGCCTAAGCTGGCCTCAAATTCTCAATCTTCCTGCCCACACAGAAAATTTTCCTTTTTTTGGTGAGCAAAGATTTTACTTTATATATGGCTATCAAATAGTTGATAAGTAAAGTTACTCATCCACTCTAATGTAGATTAAGCATCAACTCACTTATTAGAAGTCAGCCTTTCTTTTATCATCAATTTATACATTTCCAAGAAGACATCAACCCAACAGTTCAGATTTACATATTAATCAATCCATTTTTCATTATCTTTTGATTTTTGTCTTTATAATTTATAGGTTTTATTATCTTTAAGTAGTGGTACAAAGGGGTTTCAACTCAACATATGAATTTATTCATCCAATGCACCTTGATCAGTGTCTTTCCTCTCATCATCCCCCCTTTTCTGGATTTCTTGCAGTATGTCAGTGTTAAAAGAGAATCATGTTTTAAGGAAATCCCAGGCTTCAATGGCACATACACAGGAAAGTTTGTTTTGTTTGCTTTGTGGTTGTTTACCAATAAACCAATTATTGCAGAATACAGGACAATGATCAAATACAGAATAAACCTTTTTGTAAAATGTCAATATGCTAGCTATTCTTTAACTTAATTGGAATCAGTACTAGCAAAAACTTTGGGGTCTATCTGTGCCAATTCCTGGGAAGAGTTGTAATGTTATGTCCTTGTTTTATTCCCATTCTTACTCCTTAGTGTATGAACAATAATGTTTTTGTTTTTGGACAGTTTTTGTTCTCTTGTTTTTACTCCAAGGATCTTAAAATCCACTTAAGTAGGATTCTTTGTGTTGTATTTCACAAACATCATCAGTTTTATTTTGCTATTGATAAGTAATACTAAAGAGTATGTTTTAATGTTTTCCCTTGCCTCCTTCATTTTTCTGTTTGCCTCAGGTTTTCTTTGACACTTTCCTCATTATTTACTGCCTAGTCACCTTGACAAGCCTCCTCCTTGCCAGCTTTCTTTGGCTTGTTTCCATTTAGAAGAGTAACTCAACTCAATCCACAATTGTGTTTATGCAATAATACTCTTTGTCTTCTAACTTTGGTAGAATCTTCCCTAATTTCTAAAATTATAAAACATAACTCCTATCTATAGCTCTTTTGACATGTTTTGTGTTGTTAAAAATAAATGAGCTGAGTGCCAGTGGCTCATTCTTGTAATCCTAACTACTCAGGAGGCTAAGATCTAGAGGGAGGCTCAAAGCCAGCTAAACAAGAAAACCCATGAGATTCTTTTTTTTTTGGGTCCGGTAGTGGGCCTGAACTCTGGGCCTGGGCACTGTCCCTCAGCTCTTCAGCTCAAGGCTAGCGCTCTACCATCTGAGCCACAGCGCCACTTCCAGCTTTTTTCTTTTTGCTTAAGTGGTGCTGGGGAATCGAACCCAGGGCCTCAAGCATGCAAGGCAAGCGCTCTACCACTGAGCCACCTTCCCAGCCCCGAATATTAAGTGATATTTCTTTTTTTTTCTTTTTGCTTATGTGGTGCTGGGGAATCGAACCAAGGGCCTCATGCATGCAAGGCAAGCGCTCTACCACTGAGCCACCTTCCCAGCCCCTACCCATGAGATTCTTATCTCCAATTAACTACCCAAAACCTGGAAACGGTGCTGTGGCTCAAGGTGGTAAGCTTTAGCCTTGAACACAAAAGCCTTAGGGACAGTGCCCAGGCCCTGAGTTCAAGCCTCAGTACTGGTGTGTGTGTGTGTGTGTGTGTGTGTGTGTGTGTGTGTGTGTGTGTGTGTGTGTGTGTGTGTGTGTGTGTGTGTGTGTGTGTGTGTGTGTGTGTGTGTGTGTGTGTGTGTGTGTGACACACAGAGTAATTGAGTCAAGTGATGGCTCACACGTACTACTCAGGAGGCTGAGATCTTAGGATTACAGTTCAGTCAGCCCACACTTAGAACAGAAAAGTTCATGAAACTCTTATTTTCAATTAACCACCAAATAGCCACAAGTGGAGCTGTGGCTCAAGTGGTGGATCCTCAGCCGTGAACAGAAAAGCTCAGGAACAGTATCCAGGCCCTGAGTTTAAGCCCCAGTACCAGCAACAGTAAAAAGAAGTGGTCTAGAGTCATGGCTCAAGTTGTAGAGCATCTGTAGAGCAAGTATGAAGCCATAAATTCAGTACCCAGTACTGTAATAATATTATGATTCAGTTTTTTATCAGCAATTAATCCTTTTGAAAGTTTGTTGGTTTTTTTTGGGAAATGGGCCATTTTTTCAGTAACACTGCTTAGAAATATAATTTTTTTCAGTTGTCTTTCGTTGTCACTGATTTTGAAGTTCAGTATATTAAGTATTTTCAAAATCTACACAATTGAATTTATTTGTAGAATCTGTTATTTATATTTATAACCTTTACATAGATATACAGCTTTCAGTGTCAACAGAAATAGCAATGCTTTGAAAATTTTTAACTGTTGTCCTTTATCTTTGAATTTTTGAAATATCCTTAAACTTTATTATGAAGTACTGAATGATACATTTTTATGAGATGCAGGTGTGCCATGCGGAACTTGAATTGGGAACTTGTTTTCAAGCAATAAACAGTAGGATTCAGCTACAAATTCTTGAGGCGCAGTACCTTCCAAGCTCATCAACACCTCTGACTTTGAGTAAGTATATCTATCAGTCATTCAAATCTCATGTAGTGAGGTACAATTGGAAAAGAGTCAAGAGACCAGTGGATTAAGGTCTTTGCCTTTAACAGAAGTAAATCAGGGATTGGGATACTTTGGCTGACTAGGCCTGATTCACTTGGCCATTCTTAGAGGTGAAGTCTGAGGTTCTACTCAAGGCCTAAGAGGGAATAAAATGTGCTCCTTTTTCTCATATTGGCACTTTTAGTGTACGTCTTAGGTTTAAAGTATTTTTCTCATTACCAATTATTTTTTATTCTGTCGCTAATAGTGGGGAAGAATATCCATCTCTACCAAAGTTACAATGATTTAGGAAGGTTTCCAAGTAATTGCTTATTAAACAATTATTAACTGTTTGGAAACCACAAAAAATGAAAATGGCTCCATTTTCCTACCAAAAGAAGGAAACTGTCTGAAAGCAGGCAAACACAGTGATGTCCACTATACCTGGAAAGATTAGCATTCAACTCAAGAAGTTGAACAACAAACACAAGGAAAGTAAAAGTCAAGTTTTAAAGAGAAAGTAGAGATTGATAAATGTAGAGACAAGACCAAAGATATAATAAAATCAAAAGCTTTTTTTCTATGAAAGGACCATTAAAATAGATACGTGACATTTTAAATGAAATTTTACAAATCAAAATTCTTTGTTTTGCAGGTTTTTTTGTGAAGGTGGGAATGTTTAGCTCAGGAGAATTGATTTATAAGAAGAAGACACGCTTGCTGAAGGCCTCCAGTGGGAGAGTGAAGTGGGGAGAAAGTATGATTTTCCCACTCATACAGACTGAAAAAGAAATTGTTTTTCTCATTAAGCTTTATAGTCGAAGCTCTGTAAGAAGAAAACATTTTGTAGGCCAGGTTAGTAGTGGGGGGATTATCTTTATTTTCTGCTTTTAGTTTTTTTTATGCATTTAAGCAGTTGGTTAGCAAAAAGGAATACAATATAAAACTATTAAAGTAAGATTCTTCAGCCTCACATAAAATTCAGTGCAAAAATTCTTGTCAGGTATTTTTTTTTTAGCTTTTGTATGAGTAGTTTAAGTTTCTGAGCTATCAGGCTGATTTTTAAACCTGTGTGTTCAACTTTACCAACCAAGATAAGTTTTTTTTTTGTAGGCACTGTCTCATTCTTTGTGGAAGGAGGAACATTGTATATTTAAATCTAATTTCTTAAGGCTTTAGGTATCACATTTACTTGATTCTGTTTCACCTTCCACTTAATGCTTACCACAAGCACTTTTTATGTGTCATTGAGTGACTTATATTAAATCCCTAGAAAACATCAGTTTTTCATAGTGATTGTAATAATCTCTAGATAGTCACTACTGTGGTCTATATTGGTTGATTTAAAAGGTTGGTGGGTTTTGTTTTTGCGTGTACTGGGGTTGGAACTCAGTGTGTCACATTCACTCAGTTTGCTTTCTCAGCTTTTGCCCTACCAGGTGAGCCACACCTTCAGCTCAGCTTTTTGCTGGTTATTTTGGAGATAGAGTCTTAGAAGCATTTTTGCTCAGGGTGGCTTTGCATCTCAACCCTCCAGATCTCAGCCTCCTGAGTTGCTAGGGTTACAGTAATGAGAAATGAGCACTGTTGCCCAGCATTTTTTTTGGTCAGTTGTGAGACTTGAACTCAGGACCTAGACGCTGTCCCGGAGCTTTTTTGTACAAGGTTAATAGTGTCCTACCACTTTAAGCCACAGAGCCACTTCCAGTTTTCTGGTGATTAATTGGAGATAAGAGTCTCATGGACTTTCTTGCCTGATCTGGCTTTGAACCATGATCCCCAGATCTTTTTTTTGGGGGGGGGGGGTCCGGTCGTGGGCATGAACTCTGGGCCTGGGCGCTGTCCCTCGGGTCTTCAGCTCAAGGCTAGCACTCTACCACTTGAGCCACAGCGCCACTTCCGGCTTTTTTTTTCTGCTTATGTGGTACTGAGGAATCGAACCCAGGGCCTCACGCATGCAAGGCAAGCGCTCTACCACTGAGCCACCTTCCCAGCCCGATCCCCAGATCTTAACCTCCAGAGCTGCTAGAATTATAGGCGTGAGCCACTAGCACCCAACTTTGCCAAGCATCCTTTTATCTTCATCTTAATTTACAATTATTTGTGCCACATTTAAATCACATGTATTCTATTGGTATAACAGTCCTACCTAGGGGGCTGAGAAGGTGGCTTGAGCTAGTCTTGAGCTGAAGAGCTGAGAGACAGCGCCCAGGCCCTGAGTTCAGGCCCCACGATCAAAAAAAAAAAAAAGTCCTACCTAAGCAAGATGTAACAGTCTATATGAAGCATCAAATTATATGTATGAATTCTCAAAAATTGAGCCAAGTGCTAGTGGCTCATGCCTGTAATCCTAGTTACTCAGGAGGTTGAAATCTGAGGATCATGGTTCAAAGCCAGCCCAGGCAGGAAAGTTTCTGAGACTCTTATCTCTAGTAAACTACCAGAAAACTGGAAGTGGCACCATGGCTCAAATGGTAGAGCACTAGCCTTGAGCTGAAGAGCTGAGGGTAGCACACAGACCCAGGTTCAAGCCCCAGTACCAACAGAAAAAAAAAAGATCAATTCTGACTTCTTTATATAATTTATCAAAAATATTCAATCTTACAATTTTGTTTCTTCATTAATTTGTATTTGGAAAAGAGTTTGAATTCAAGAATTCAAGTAACATTCTAGACAGCTATGAGGCCTATGACGTCAATTTAATTAAAGTTGTCTGTATTATCAACTATCATGTACAAAGAGTAGGAAATTTACTTTGAGAATCTGTAGGATAACAGTTGTAAAAAGTTCTTTCTGATCACCTGCTCACTATAGCTTCTGTAGTCTCAGGTGTCACCATGATGGCAAATCATATGTGGACTCAAGTTGTCCCCCTCTACCAACTAAAACACTTAACATTACCTAATGTTTTATATATTGTACGATATTATTTAAGGAAAGTTTCTTTATGAAAGTTAAAAATGCTTTAATACCAATGATCTACTCCAATTGTTTGACTTGGAATAATTAGAAACTGAGTCGCAGAAAAGTTAATTCCAAGGTAACAGCATTGTTACGTTAGAGCCAGGGTGAGGATGAAGTTTTTTTTATCCTTGTCCACCTTGTGTGCATGATATACAGCCATTGTGATATCTTGCATTGGCATCACACTTAGTTTTCCCAAGTTAATTTACATTATATAAAGTTACTTAAGTGATAGACACACTATGAGCTGGGCCAGTAGTCAAGCCAATATGCCCAGCTTCTTCTGTTGAAAAAAAAAAAAATCTTGACTTTTCTGCCCAGGAATGATCCGGATCTCTATTTCAGATGCAGCTTCCTATGAAGCTTGGCTGATTGGTTGAAAAGGGGTCTTGTGAACTTTTATGCCCAGCCTGGCCTCAAGCCACAATCCTTCCATTCCCAGCTTCCCAAGTAGTACTCCAGAGTAACTCACTAGGGCCCAGTTCTCAATTTGAATTCCTTTTTTATTTTTATTATTTTAATTTTTGGCAGTACTGGTAGAACTGAGGACCTCATGTTTAGATTCTTAAAAGGTAGTTAGATCATACAAAAGTCATCAGAATGACTAAATAGGCTGAATGTTTTAACATTTCAATGTCAAAGGAAATTATGCCAATTTTTAGAAAACTAGAAAAACATTTAAAATTATATAAACCGAACTTTACAATATCTTTTATCAGTAATTAACTGTTTGAATGTAGTTATCACGATTATGCCACATGAAATGATGATACTATTCCTTTTCAGATCTGGATAAGTGAAGACAGTAACAACATGGAAGCAGTGAAACAATGGAAAGAAACAATTACAAATCCAGAAAAGGTTGTTATCAAGTGGCACAAATTAAATCCGTCTTGAAGACTTCACACATTAATTTGGTGAAGAAGCGACTTCATATTCATTTAGAAGATTTATGATTTCCATTTTGCTAGAATTCATAATTTGATCAGCTATCCAAGGAGAGGAAATGCTTTAAAATGGTGCCAACCATAGACAATAAAATGAAAAGGTAGTATCAGTAGGATATTAAACATTTTACAAAGTCATGAAAATATCCACAATGGATAGGTATTTCTAGATGGTTTTTGCTTTGTTTCTTTTGCTTAAAATTTCAAAATGTAGTATATCAAATCCCTATCAGTGCCATTAAGCATTTAGAAAACTTCACCACTATTTTTTTTTGCTAGGCACATTGACTGGATTTTGGTTCTACTGTTGACATCTTCCTGCAAAATGAACCATTTTAACCATTTTTTTTATATTTGGGGAAAGTTTGTACCCTGTGTTTATAACTTCTTTCTATAAGATATATACTTTCATTTTATATACACTGCTTCAAGAAATTTCAGAAAATTTTTGGAAACTTTAACATTTTTTTTACAAGAATAATGGAAGTGTATTTAGACCCAGAATATGTACATTTTCAAAATTCCCTCCTTCAGTTATGATACAGTTCATCCTAGTTGGTAATTTAAATTGAAATTTTAACATTGTATGAATTATTTTTTTTTTTTGTCGGTTGTGGGGCTTGAACTCTGGGCCTGGGCGCTGTCCCTCAGCTCTTCAGTTCAAGGCTAGTGCTCTACCATTTGAGCCACAGTGCCACTTCTGGTTTTCTAGTGGTTTATTGGAGATAAGGCTCATGGACTTTTCTACCCTGACTGGCTTTGAACCATGATCCTCAGATCTCAGCCTCCTGAGTAGCTAGGATTACAGGCATGAGCCACTAGCACTCAGCTTATGAAAATTGTTTTAAAAATATACATTAATTGTCCTTTAATCCATGTTAGAATGTTTTTCCAATCTTCTTTTTCTTTTTTTTTTTTTTTTTTGGTCAGTCATGGGGCTTGAACTCTGGGCCTGGGCACTGTCCCTCAGCTCTTCAGCTCAAGGCAAGTGCTCTACCACTTGAGCTACAGCGCCACTTCCAGTTTTCTGGTGGTTTATTGGAGATAGGAGTCTCACGGTTTCTCCTGCCCAGGTTGGCTTTGAACCGCGATCCTCAGATCTCAGCCTCCTGAGTAGCTAGAATTACAGGCGTGAGCCACCAGCGCCCGGCTTATGTTTTTCCAATTTTCATAACTACATGTTAATGAAAATAAATATTTTTGATTGCAGGTTTCTTTCAGTTACTTATTAGAACTCAGACTGTGAGGATAAATGCAGCTGTGTTGGCCATAAAACAGCTTTAAGGAAAAACAAAACCCATTATTTATAATCTTGGAATATTTGACTTTATTTTTGCTGAAAAGTAGAACATATTCTCTGGGGGGCTATTTTAGGGGGGGTTGTTTGTTTTTGGTGGTGGTTGTGTTACTGGAGTTTGAATTTAAGGCCTTGTACATGTTAGCAGTCTAGCACTTGACCCATACCTTCTGTTTTTCACAGCTTGTGCAGGGTGGGGAGGGTTTGTTTGTTGTTGTTGGTTGTGGGGCTTGAACTCTGGGCCTGGGCACTGCCCCTCAGCTCTTCAGCTCAAGGCTAGCCCTCTACCACCTGAGCCACAGTGCCACTTCCAGCTTCCTGGTGGTTAATTGGAGATAAGGGTCTCATAGACTTTTCTACCTGCACTGGCTTTGAACCATGATCCTCAGACCTCACCCCCTGTCTTCCTGCTGGGATCACAGGTGCAAACCACTCCATCAAACTTTCCTCCATGTAGATGAGTTCTCATAGACTTCTGCAGGCATGCCTTGAGAACTAGGAGGTCCCATTCCAGCCTCCCATGTAGCTAGGATTATAAGGTGGAAGCCACCAGCATCTGGCTTTATATTTCTTTCTTTGCCGTTTTATCCCACACATTCCAAGAGATGTATGGTGATATTTACCTTGCTGTATCCTAAGCATTTCTTTTTCATCCTAGTCCCCATGTTCACTGTATTTCATTAAAATCTTTCTGAAACAATATTTAGTTCTTTAGCTATTATTTTTTTCAAGCTACAAAATGTACATATTTTACATCCCATTTATTTCTACTGCCTAGATTTTATGGTACTGGTAATGTTGATAAGTATTCTCTGCCTCTGTATTTTGAAATAGTTAGGTCAGTAATCGTGACACTGGAATGGAATTCCTATACATCCCCCATAAGCACAGCTTCCTGCACTGTCTGCACCCTGCCCAGAATAGCATGTTTGTTGCAATCCATGAACTTATACTGGCAGGTAATCATTACTCAAAGTCTATAATTTACCTTAGAATTTATTCTTGTTGTTTTGGATCCTATGAGTTTTGACCTGTAACTACCATCTTAACAGCTCTCAGTACTTTCATTGTCCTCAAATCCTCTACAAATTCAGTTATTTTAATAGCTATAAAAGAAGTTTGTATACTTATTTTTTAGATACTAAACACACTTTACCATTTCTAAAAACTAATTTTAACAATTTCTGTATTCTGTTAGTACTTTTGATTTCTAAATTTAACATCATATATTTAACTCAATTTTTAATTTTTTAATATTAAAAAATATATAAAGAATACATCATTTAAGCCATGCCCTTTTATTTCTTAGAATCCTAGGTAAATCAATAAAAACAAATCTTTATTTAAAATACCTTCCAGGTACAGAAATATTGAGAGAAATAAGACCTCAAAATCCTTTTTCCGGTAAAGATCGCTGACTATAACTAATATGTATGGTCATTGTTTCCTTGAAGCTTTTATGTGGAAATATAATTGTAAATACTTCTGTTAGTAGGCACTCACTGTAAGAAAAGAAATAGGAGCTGTTAAAAAAAAATCTGAGACACTATGCAAAAATCATTTCCTTCCATATGTGGCTTAGGCTTTTCTTGACCTTTCCCTACCTGAATCTGGGAAAGGAGAACAAAATGCCCCTAAGGTGAGAAAAGGTAACCCTGGGGAGTTTCGTATTCACAGCTTATAGTTTTCATAGTGGTGTTCTCTAAAATTGTATAACTTACAAGCTTTCACATTAATATAATTAATTAGCTAGAACCTATGTCAAAAACTACTGTCACTTTTGGCTTTTATAATTTTCATGATTTTTAAAAAGCAGAAACTATAAAGAAATAACTACTGAAGTATCAGTTCCAGCTCTTTAACAGACTGTTGACAAGAAACAAGCAAGATTTAAACATAATTGTCTAAAAATAACCTGAACTAAAGTTCTATTTGAATCTGATTATGTGAGTTTATCTGATGATGATGTACTCAGCAGCCAGGTGGACAAGATGTTTCCCAGCAAAACTTTCCATTGTTTGTATAATCAAATACTTGCTGATGTGTGAAGGATTTAAAAAATTTGCAATAAAATTTAACTATTTTTATGAGGTAATGGATATTTCAAAACCACATCTCTTTCCAGCATTTGGAAGTTTATTTAGTGTTTCTTTGGGGTATACTGAGAAAAGTGCCAGGTAAAATGTGTTGGTGATGGTTATGAGGATACTTTTCTAATATTTCTTTTGATGAGTATATTGTAATTGTTATTCAGAATTAAATTTCACATACTTGTGTTTTTAGATGAATGCAGAGTGGAAAGAATTTTGAAAGTGGGCCCATGAAGTATTGCGTCCATTTTCAAATACAGATTTAAGCTTTTAAAAGATACTAAGAGAATAATCCTATAAAACTGGATTTTTATTAAATTGTCTAAAGATGAATGTTCTCTATATTTTTTACTAATTTCCTGGTAGAATTTTTTTTAACTTGATCTTGTTTTTTAAAATATTTTTCATCTGTGAAAAAAACTTAGCCTTAAAAACTGGTTGCAGTCAACAACTTGTGCATTAAACTAGTAGGATTCTACTAATGGCAGAAAATAGAAAGCTATTTTCTTTTTTTTTTTTAATTGTGAAAATACTGTACAGAGGGGTTGCAATTGCATGGACAAGATAATGAGTACATTTCTTATCAAACATTGTTGCTTCCTCCTTTGTTTCCCTTTCCCATCCCTTCCGATCTCCCCCCTCCCTCCCTCCCCCTATCCTCCCCCCTTGCTCCTAGAAAGCTATTTTCTTAGTGATGACCCATGCTGAGCTATATCACTGCGTAAAGTGTCTTTTTCTTTTTTTTTTCTTTTTGTTGTTGTTGTTATGCTGCTGGTCCTGGGGTTTGAACTCAGGGCCTGAGCTCTGTCCCTGAGATTTTATGGTCAAGACTAGCACTCTACCACTTGAGCCACAGCTCCACTTCAGGCTTTTTGGTAGTAGAGACAAGGAATTTCATAGACTGTCCTGCCTGGGCTGGGTTTGAACCACAATCCTCAGATCTCAGCCTCCTGAGTAGCTAGGATAACAGACACAAGCCACAGACATCCTGCAATAAGATGCCTTTCAAATGAGAGTGATGTTTTTATTCAGTATGCTTTTCATATCTTCATGCTGATGACTTTGTTTCTGGGTCAACCTTTAGTTTCTAAGGCAGGAGGTTAATAAAAATATCTGCTCTATGTGTTAGAACTGGATTCATTTTAGCTGAAGTAAATTTAAAATTTAGCTGTGGCTCTCAGTTGGCTGTCAGTTTCATTTGTAGGTTTTTCATCTTTTTTGATTATATAATATATGGAGTCATGATCATAAAACAACTAGTTTTAAATGAGTCACCTTGTATGTTTAATAACTAAATGCAATAAGCTGCCATTGTTTATACTGAGATTTTATTTTTTGTTAAGGAAATAAAACCATATAAAGCAGAAATATAGTAAAAAGCAGAATTTGAAGTATGGACAAAATGCTTTGGAAGCTTAAATAAAGAAGAAATTAAATGCAGCAGCTGAAAGGGTTAGGGAAGTTTCTGTAGATCCAGGCCTGAAATTCAGTAAACAAATTGGTAGCATTATCCATGAGAACTAACTTTGCCTGTCCCCCAGTCTTACTTTTTTTCTTTTGTCAGCTAATTCAACGATAAACAATTCATACTTCCACTTCCTCCAAACCTTTAACCCACCTGCTCCTTGCTTTACTCTGAGTACAAGATTTTGTTTCCCAATCACAAAGAAAACAGTGCCACATTCCTTCATATGCCTACCATAGTAACCACAAGCTTATTTTCACCCATATCTGTTCTCTCCTTTTGTTGGA